TATCTATACTTTTGTCGTTAAAATGTTACGTCTCAACCAAGTACTGTATGCTTTTTATATTTTTAGTAGTGTGTCACACAAACAACAATTAAAGTAAGAAATCTTTGAGGGTGCTTTGATTCATTTTGGGGGTGCTTCTCTCTTTATCTCTTCACTTATGTAGTGATTTTAAAAGAAGGTGTGTGCAAACCTTTAACTGTTATTGAGTTTCTTGCATCACAGCTGAGGCTTTCAATCACTGTTTCCACACAAAGTTTGCTTAAATTTGTTGAAATTTTGAGACAAGTGCACAAAAGAAAATAAAAATACATGTGCACAGTGTTGGGTAAGTTACTTTAAATTAGTAACTTAGTTACATTAGTAGTCATTTCTATCAAAGGTTACTTGTTCCTTTCTCGTTCCTTGTAGTAACTAGTTACTATAGCTAACTTTGGTTTTACTCAGAATTCTCTCATGAATGTGTTGCTTCCCTAACTGGATACCAGCAAGGATGCCAGTCTTTTATCTTGTTTACATGTTAGCACTATCCTGCCACAAGTGCACTGTGCCACCTAATGGCCCGAACGTAAAATGGCAGTGTAGTAGTGTGAGTGCAAGTTAATGATGAAATGAATGAAACTAAATTAGAAATTAACAATGTTTGTTTTATGTGTCACTTTTTATCTGTCTGTTTTAATCTATTTATATTGTTTCAAACCTCTATAAATGCAAACACATCATTTTGGAGTTGATGCAGCAGTGTTATAAATCACTAATCATTGTACGTAGTATCACTAGGAAGAAGCAGTGGATCACAAAACACCACATAAAGTGTGTTAAAACTTTTGAAAAGTATATTTATTTGTGCCATTGAAATGGGTAGAAAGTTTACTTTTAGCAGTGCCAACATTAAACTGTGGCTCAGACCATTTAGGAGCTTTAGGTATCAAAAAATACAGTGCAAAAATGGTTCAACATAAACACAGTGAGGTTTGTCCATTCTTTGTAAACTTAACTGAAAACAGCTGAACTGCACCAACTGGAGACCTCATGTTCAGTAATGATGGGCAAACTTAAAAGTATTTTCAGCCTCATAATCAGAATCAGAATACTTTATTGATCCCTG